ATTTTATTTATCTCCATGGTCCACATTTGTGTGACATTTCATTTAATTTTTCTTCATAAATTTAACATTATTAAGCACTAATTACAAATGAATGCAAATGTACACCTGCTAATTCATACAAATGTCCTTTTTATCATTACAAAGAGCGAGCGAAAGAACAAGTGGGAATCAGAAGCGGAATGCGGAGTACGGAGTGCAAATACAAATGCCAATATAAATGAAAATGTATATAATACATATATATGTGTATATATTTATGTATAAAAGTAGAGAGAAAAAAGTAGTAGTATAAATTGGAAATCTCGGATTCTCCATTAGCTTTTCCGTTTTGTCATTAAATAAATTAACTAAAATATGTTTGTACAGATATATTGCATTTCTTAGTATTGGACTTAGTTTAAGTCTTGGTCTTATGTGCTCTCTGCAACACAAAAGATTAAATATAATTTACACTTAAGTACACAGTAAGCACAAGGATACGCACAGAATGACTATTGAGCACACACACACGCACGCACACATAAATAAGCCGATGGCATGTTTGATGTTCAGATACAAGAGTATTTGCTTGTATGACTATCTTCCGCACAGCTACACAAACACATAAGCTCAACAGGACTAAATAGAGGACTAAATACGGCATGGAACTGAACTCACCTTTCGGCCTAATAAGTGAATAATGTTGCCAAACAAATTTCGTACATGTTTTCATAATGAATGCATTTGTCTTGTCCACACACATACAAAGCGCCCAGCCCAGTACGGTCAGTTTGGCCGTACATTAGTTAAATATCCTTAGGCTCCTACGCAGAGGTTGATCTGCTTGTTGGCTGATGACGAGGCATGGATTGTTAGGATGAATGCTCTAAGACGTGTGGCGTTTGCACTGCCATTATGAAATTCATTTCTAATTACGTTCATGTCATATTGTTTGGAAATTGTGATAGATTCTTATGGTTAAATCAAAATAAACTAGATTTCAATAATAAATCAAAGAGCATGTGTGACATTGTTGCTTGCCTTTGCGTCACCAATAATTGCTCTGCAAATACTCATAAGTTTTGTTATTAATTCTTTTTATATTTCAATTTATTTCATGTTTCATGTTTTTCAAATAATTCATTTATTTTTCATATCCCTTGGCTGACACAAACTAACGCTCAAACATATTTTTTGAGAGCACGACACAACATCAATTAGGCACAATGGCTCAAGGAAACATTTCAACAGATCCTTGTCTCAGCATGTATCGAATATCTTACGAGTATCATTTATGTAAATAAATACATAAATTGTTTAATTAATAATTTACAAATTTTTGCACAATTTTGTTAGTTTCTTCTGCAAAATTGTAGAACGATTTTTCTTTAAAAAAATGAGAATATTCCCTAATTTATCTGTGTTATATTTGACATATTAGTCAGCAATGACATATTCTGATAAATAAATAAATAATTAGATATAGTAATGAGCAGAACAATTTTAAATGTTGATTTCATTAGCTCACTCAATTTTATTAATAATAATTAGTATTTCATAATAAGTATAATTATTAAATATTATTTAATAAATGAATTATGATACGAGTATTTCATTAATAGCATATTTCACTTCTATTCTAATATAAAACTTCCATCGCCTTTTTTGATTTGAATAAATTCACTTCTTCCAAAGCATTCTATTAATATTGTTGTCGAATGGTAAAAAATCATTCTTAAAGTAACGCCAAGATTTATTTCTATATTTAACACATTATTACCATCCTAAGAGACGCTCTGTGTCTTCTCACACAGAGGATTGGGATGACGATTACAGAATTGAGTTAATCCCTCACACGCTAGCATAGTTATATGGTATTCATGGGACTCAATTTTAAGACTTTCGACGAATGTTGGCATTTCATTAATATAATCCCTGATGTTGGTAGTCATAAACAAACATTTACTTATGACCCCTTTTTGCGAAAGGAAAACAAATAGGTTTAATATGTTTTCAGCAGACACTTTTAAACCAAATTAGGCTACATACTTTAAATCTAGAATCTCTTACTTGATCCTCATTAATAACTTGAATGTATCTAAAATAATATCTTTTCTCACCAAAAAAAGCCTTTAAAATGTCTGGGTTTACCCCCCTGGATCTCCTGTAGTTCGTATTTGTTTGTGCTGAATGAAGCAAGAGCAGAACATCAGTTGTGCCACTGTACGGAGTTAATATAAGCCACACTTAAGCTTATGGAAGTTCAAAACTTTATACTTAAATACTTTCAATAATTCATTTAAAATATATCTTAATTTAGAATTAACCAAATACTTACCTTTATCAATGTATTCGATTTGTTCTAACACGCTCAACCCTCTACCCAAAAATTAGAAGAATATATATCTTCCTTAGCTGAGGAAACGAATATCCATAAAGAATGTTATTCCACTGAAATGATCATATAGATTCGCTATTTATGTAGTACGATATTTTAATGGAATGCAGGTTTCTTATTTTAAAAATTCTTTGAACTGTATTAAAATATATTTTCAATTATATTAAAAGTTGTATTTTATTAATATAACATCTTTAGCCGAAGGGATGATAAATCCTATTTAACGTATTAAATCAATCATAAATTTCAACTTAGACAAACAATATTTAGATTTACAAATAAATATACATATTCCATTAAAGAAATAAAGTGGTATAAACGAGCACAAAAATGCAATCGAACTACACTAAATATTGCAAGAATTTTTTCATATAATTTTATTTAACTTTAACAATTTGTTGTATATTTTAATATAAAAATGTTACTCTAAATATTTTAAAAAAATATGGATTTAAAAAACATAATCGTTTTAAGCCTATTTCATTATCTAGTCTTAATTTTTAGAATATTAGTGCAGTTCAGTTTGATGATCACAAATTCAATATTGCTCATATGTATTAGCTATCTGTACTTACTATTAGTGGAATAGTACTTATAGTGTTGTTACTTTCGTAGTCGAAGTTGGTCATCTGCTGCTGTGAAGGTTGGTTTTGTGAACTCTAAACTCCGACTAGGGATATGAACATGACTTGTCAGATATTAGTACGGATTCAGATAAACTCATGACATGCTATACAGACAGTATGGGACTGTGCTTAGAATCCGACTATGTCGATATATTCGTTCCGACTAGACGCCTATTGCTGTCAAGCTAACAACGATATTACAAATATTTGTAATATGTGAAGAATTATTTTGATGTGAAGATCAATAGGTAGCAGGTTTAATTTCATCGTGTTTCATCGTGTTGAAAATATAATTTAATTTTGTTTTTAATAATTTAATATAATTTGTCTTTGCAATTAAACCATCGAGTGCTTTACAATCGCACAAAGCCATCGTTCAACAAAAATCTTTGACAAACAACTCAACAAATGTGATCGATCAAGCACTCTATTTACCTGACAGGGCCTGTATTATTTTTCTTTTCTCGAAGATAAAATTACCCTATTCGATCCATATACAGCATAAAACAGAATTTTCTAAAGTAAAAAAAAATCATATCTCAATCTGCTTTTAACACAAACATGCAGAATTGGGTCGATTCTACATTTGGCATTGTGATGTTGCATTTGATAAGAACTCATTTTATGAGGACAAAATAAGTGTTGATTAATTGATGATTTTTTAAGTTCTATTTGTAATTTTGAGTGTATTTACATTTTTGAGTATAAAGAGTATAAAGGCGAACAGAATCAATAGTTTGTAACTTGGCTTAAAACCAGCGAGGTCTATCTAACACCTCTGTTGTTCTTTGAATCTCAGCATCTAATCCACATTGAATGAAAATAAATAAATTCAGTCATTATATCCACATCTGAAACTCAAAATTTTAACCATAGCTACCATTATACTCCCATTAAAGAGGTTAACCTCTATTGGCTAGGACAGCCGGATCTGTGGGGCCTTATCTCCGTGGTATCAGATTTGCACCTCCGGTGATTTATTTTGAAAGAATAATTTATGAAATTTTATTTTGAATAATTAAATTTGCTACTTTTTTGATTTGCACAAAGTCAGACTCTGAGAAGACTTTTTGTACCATGGTACATTAGGACGAATGACATTCTCAGGGACCTCAAGATTGATCCCATCAAAAAATACATAAATGATAGAGCCCTAAAATTATTTGCGAAAACTGACAGATTTACCAACATTGCGTTATCAATTCTCAGAATGGTGACAGGCTCCTCGGGGAGGTATGCAGATCTGATGTCTATTATTGCTTAGTCTGATGAAGTGATAAGCAATAAAACAGTCAAGGCGTAAAGGGAGGTTTTAAAAATACCTCGAGTTAAGAAAGAGTAAAAGTGCTCAAGTGCACTGGCTCAAATAGAAATAAATAAATAAATTATAGGTGCTATATTGACTTGTTGTCATGCCTTTTTAATATTTAATATATTTGTTTAAATTAGATTTAAATAAATAAATATTAATTTATTTGAATTGGAATAGTTTTAGACCCATTTTTTTATTACAAAGACTTTTGTGTTTTTTAAGACTTTTTTAAGAGTTTCTTAAGATTTCTGTGGATCTGTATAAACGTCAGACTTAATAGTTGTTTATTCAGATTTAGATTCACAGGAGCCTTTACGAAATATTTAATTTAATCATTATTCAAATATTTGCGTAATTTTTTCATATTAAGTACAATTGTCTACAATATTGTAAGTTATTTGATAAGATCTTTTAATTATTGAACACGTGCTTAATGCGCGTTAATAATGCTTGTGTATTTGTAATTTATTATTGTAAGATAAGTCAATAATCAATTGATTCAATTAACACATTTGAAATTTGTTTATTTCTATTGCAAATTGGATGCACGTCCGACTGCTTTGTTTGCTTATTTGATGCTTGCCGCACACTATTACCGCTGCTGCTGCTCCTGCTGCTACCGCTGCTACCGTTTGCTGCTGCCTGTGCTCGCTCAATTCAATGTAATGGCACGCATCAATTACAGGTTTCCGATACAGTTGTGGAGCCTTATAATGCCACCTTATCCATACATCAGCTCGTCGAGAATACCGATGAAACATTTTGCATTGACAACGAAGCACTCTACGATATCTGCTTCCGTACATTGAAACTTTCGTCACCCACATATGGAGATTTAAATCATCTCGTATCCGTAAGTTTACCATAACACAAAACTAATGTATTTTCTTTCCTTCTCCTTTCCTGGCAAAATCATGATACACCCGTACGACACACATCCTGCCCGCATCGAATCAACAAACAACAAATATACGTCGTATATATACGCACACACACTCACACGTTTATTGTTGTATTGCCGTTGCATTTGCTGTTGTAATGCCAACGGACCAACGTGTGCGGAAATGCACACGCACAACTGCACATTGGCACATGTGCACATATTTGCACTTATTTGCACAAGCAGGTGTCCGAAGTCGTTGTGGAGCCATACAATGCAACATTGTCGGCACATCAATTGTGCGAAAACACCGATGAAACATTTTGCATCGATAATGAGGCATTATACGATATTTGCTATCAGAAGCTGCGTCTGCCCATGCCAACATATGAAGACTTGAATCATTTGTTGTCCGTAAGTAGCAAATAAGATTGAATTTTCTGAATTCAACCATTCCAGCAACCGCCAAACGCTATAGCTTCTAAATGTCTTCAGCAAATCAGCAAATCAACAAATGCAACTATCAATGCAAAAAAATTTAATTCATTAACAAATTACTCACAAAATGTGTGTCTGTGTGTGTGTATGTAAGTGTGATGAAAAAAAATATTTAAAAAAATATTTACTAATTATCCACAAAATTATTAGAAACTAAATTTATTTAAATTTTTTTTCGAAACCTTCTCGATGTAGTATAGAAACTAGTCAAATATTTGAAAAGGACTTAAAAATATTTTAAACTTAATTTAGAAAACGATTCTGAATTGTATTAATACTATATGTATAGAATTATATTACATAAATAAGTCAAATTATATACAACAAGATTATATATATATATATATAAATGAAAAGGACTTAAAACTACTTAATTAAGGGAATGACTCTAAATGGTATTATATATAGAATTATATAATTAAGTCCAATTATATATAATTGGAATTATATAAATTATAATAGTTATTACGTATTTATAGAGTC